GAGAGAGAGAGAGAGAGTAGGAGAACGTACTGCTGCTTTACAGGCAATTTTCCTCCACATTGCTGCATTCCTTTGGGAGCTAGCTTTGTGTCAACATTTCGAGCAGTTTGTGCGACTGAATACGGACGGGTGCAATCACACTGCGGAAGGGAGTCTAGTGCATGTCGGTAGCTACGTGACAGTGAGGAAGGTAATGGCCCTGCTTGAAAGGCTACGCCCAACTGCTTGAATAGTGTGGTTAGGCCTTTGTGGGGTCGGGGGTATGGGCCAACCTGATGTGTACTTTGGTGTGAGAAGGTCGGGGTTGCACGGGAAAGGGGTGGAATTAAATGGTTGACTGGTCACGATGGTCACAACGGTTCTTACCATTGTGGATTGGGAAGCAAATAAATAGCTGAAATTAGTGTTGTGTGCATGTGTGGGGAAATCGTTATGAAATGAGCAAGGTAGTGGTAATGGTATGTGGAGGAGTATTCACCTTGTCATCTGCCAACGTTTCCTTGTTCGGTGCACAGCCAATCGGATTGATGACACAATCACCGCCTACTCGCCTGCTTCCACGTGGTTGGTCGTCACGTCTGCATTTAATCGTGTGCTGTCCGACATGCCACCACGGAAGCAGGATGGATGGGACGAACAACTCCTGTCGTGATGCTCCTAGTTGGAGGGGTAAGGAGGAGTATGAAGCAGCATCGCCGACTTCCACTGAACCATTGGATGTGGTGGAACGGAGTGAGTGGGACCAACCAGTCCAATTCATCCTTTCACTCATCGGCTATTCTGTCGGTCTGGGCAGTATTTGGCGTTTTCCTTACATTGTCATGATCAATGGAGGCGGTAAGTCATCCTCTCTTACCTTCTGTCAACCCCTATCCACTCATTCCTTACCGTCTACTTTCCAATTGAGGGGATTCCTTGACACACCCACGCACACACAGTTTATTTACCATGAGCTGTAGTTGATGTCACTTTAGCAGGTGCCTATTTCGACGCTCTCTGCTGAGCACATAGTTGATTAGGGCTGCAAACGTATGCAATCATTATCCACCTGATACAGCACAGGGGCACCACGTCTTGTGCTACATTGGCTGGACCGCTTATATGGTTGGTTGGTGGGTTCACGAGGGCGTAGTAAATGGCGCTTCCTCCCTACCTCCTTATCTCCCGTAGGTGCATTTCTCGTGCCCTACCTCATCTTCTTGCTCTTTTGTGGCATTCCTTTCTGCTACATGGAATTCACTCTGGGTCAGTTTACTGGCTTGAGTCCGGTCAAGTCGTTTGAGTTCCTGCCCCTATTGAAAGGTACGTGGGTTGGGAGAGGACACTGCTCCTCCAATGTCCTCAGCGTGTAACGGGTGTGACGCCATTGCAGGTGTGGGATGGTCGATGCTGCTCGTGTCTGGTGTGCTTTGCATCTACTACAACATCATTATGGCTTGGGTCATCTTCTACTTCATGCATTCATTTCAATGGCAGCTGCCGTGGATATCCTGCAACAATTCATGGAACACTCCAACCTGCTTCTCCTACACCCAAACGGTAGTCGATATTGTCTTGTTGAGATGGAAGATGTGGTCAGGTTTAAGATGGTCTCTGGACTTGCTTTTTAGGCAAATCTCTCCACACTGCGTGAAAATGGCACCAGCTCGACTTTGGAATTTTGGAAGTGAGTCTCTCCACATAGTTCCTGCGTGCGTGACTACGAGGTGTTAAGGTCTTAAGGTGGCGTTTGTGCCATGCCGTCATTCCGTCGAATGCCTTTCGCACGTGTTCAGTGGTGGGTGTGAATGACGCCTGGTGAACAGTTCGATGCAAAAGGAGGCAACATTGACAGTTGGTGCGGCTTTCGACTATGCAATCACACCTCCATCACCAAATTAATTGCTATCACAATGCATCACTGAACAGTCACAGCATTGTCTGCATGTTCCCCCAAAGCGGTGTGTTGTGGTGTGGTTGTGCTGGACATGGAAGGGAAGAGCAGGGCAGGGCAGAGCAGAGCAGATGGTTTGAGGTGGTGTTTTGTCTTCCAGTCATCGGGTGCTAGAAATATCAGCAAGCATTGACGAGGTGGGTGGAGTAAATTGGAACCTCTTCGGATGCATGCTCGCCGCCTGGGTGGTCACATTCATGTGTCTTTTCAAGGGCATCAAGTCAAGCGGTAAGGTGAGTCTGCCATCAATTCTAGCATCGCAGTCAAGTGAATTGACATAAGTGCATTGTCAATGGTGTTTGCGGTGTCACAGTCATGACCTCAATTCGTGCACTTGCTGTGGAGGTTGGGTACCAGCCACCACTCTCCGATTGTTGGATGAGGCGAAGTGGGTTTTATTGTAGGTTGTCTACGTCAGCGCTCTCGCCCCCTACGTCTTCTTAACAGTGCTCGTGATTCGTGGAGTTACTCTGCCTGGCGCCTCCATCGGTTTGCAGTTCTACCTCAAACCGCACTGGCAACAACTCAAGTCTGTCAAGGTATGGCTGTGTCAGGCTTTGCACTAACAGTGCCCCATGGACTTTCAGCCGGCTGCCTCCTTTTCGTAGATCTGGACAAGTGCTGCAGTGCAGGTGTTCTACTCCCTCGGTCCAGCCTGGGGCGGTCTCATCACAATGTCCTCCTACAACCGTTTCAGGCGAAAATTTAACAGGTCGGTTTATCCAGCGCGACATGGTTGCATGCTCCCCGGTAAGAAGGCCATGCGTTGTGATCCACGATGTCGAAGTTAGGTCGCACCCTCCACCTCCCCTCGCAACGGTGGAAAGTGCGAATTAGCGCCTTTCCGTCAATGCTGCGGGGTGTCACTCACACCCACCAGCCGTGCTTACGGTTTCACACACACTTATAATCCGCAATTATCCGAGGTGTCAGATGGTAGACTCACGACACCGAAAGGGAAGCAAGCAACGATTTAGCCATCGTTGCCTTCTACGCGATGCGTCAATTGTTGGTGTGTTTAACAGCTCCACCGCAAGACATGCTCACCTCTCAATGATTCCACAGTTGTGTGCGCAATAGCACAGCATCGGTTAGAAGGAGGATGGACTTTGACAAAGTTGACCATTTGGACGGGGACACGTGGGTGGCAGATGGAACTGGAGGATTGGAAGGACGGATGACTGTGTGTGTAGAGGTATGAGGGTGGTGACGAGTGATGTGTGGTTGTGGTGTTGAGACTGCGACACGGCTTCGGGGGAGTGATTGTCGCTGCCTGTGAATGGTGAGATGAGAGTGACAGCACTTGTGGTTTGATCGGCCATGAAATACTTGCACCGTTCGCATTCATCGTGCACACATTTGCGCACGAAGCGTCTTTGTCAGCATGGGCGAGGCGGTTGGATGCACACAATGTGTCTGGCTTGGTGAGCAAGATAGCTTCTGTGTGGTTGTGGTGGTAGGCCTCGGAGCGCAGCATCCCCGATGTGGTATGCAACAATGGAGGTGAGAGGTAATGCCGACCCATGCCTTCTTCAGAGATGCAGTTATTCTCTCGGTGGTCTGTGGTGGAACGAACATATTTTGCGGCTTGGCAGTCTTCTCCGTCACCGGTCACATGGCCTACCAGACGAGGAGCAAGAGCGTAACCTCGCTAATGCTGACAGGTCCCGGTCTCGCCTTCATTGCCTATCCAGAGGCTCTGGGACAAATTCCTGGTGCTGCTATCTGGACTGTCCTCTTCTTCGCCATGCTCTTCACACTCGGTCTTGATTCCCAGGTAAAGTAGCCACAAAGCCAAGCCTTCTCCCCATTCGCTGTCACGTCCACCGCCATCAGGGTGGATAGTGAAGTGGTTTGGGGCCTCGTTGTTGTGCCTCGTCTAGTCTCTCTCCTCTCCACTTCAATCCACTCCATTACAGTTCTCCCTCTGTAGTTTGCCACACTCGAGACGATGACGAGCGGCTTCATTGACCGATTTCCCAATACCCTGGGAAGGCACAAAACCCTCTTCACCTTCCTCATCTGCTGTGCTCAATTCGGCCTTGGTTTTGTCCTCGTCACACGGGTCAGTTGCAGACCTCTTCTCCCTTCAATGCACATTATGTAGTTGGTGTGAAGTGAAGTTGCTGCATTCTCATCATCATGGTTGTGACAACATCACGCAAAAACGAGACATGTGTTCTTCACCATCCTCGACTGACTGACTGTTCCACACCAAAGTGACTGCACTGGAAACAATTCGATGCTTAATCGTATCACGCCTAGAAATGACCTCTTTCCTTTAGCCCAATTTGCAAGATGGAACAAGATGTGTGAAGCCTGATGCAGTCCACTTTGTTCCATGGCACATGTGCTGAGGCACGTGCAAGCCCAACAAAATGGACGTGTGTTTGGGTGATGTACCGTGATCATTGGCTCCAGCCATCCCAGTGGATAGCACTCAGCGGAGGGGTGATGAATCGTGGTGGCAGTGGTTGTAGTGGTGGTGGTGGCGGTGGCGGTGGTGTTGGAGGTGGAGGAGGTGAAGGAATCCGGATGGAACCTCGGAAGTATTGCTACAACAATCAGAATGGAATGAGGAGTGACTCGTGTCTCATGACCATCTACAGTCTCTCCGACCGTCTATAGGGGAGGCTTGAGGAGTACCACCCTCCGAATTAATGAGTGAGTCAATCATCACTCTCACTGATTGCCAAGGCCATGCTGTGCAGGTCTCCACGCCACAGTGGACAGCAGTGGGTTTCAGCATCCCTCAATTGCTTCTTCACCTCCTCCTCCTCCTCCTCACTCACACACTGCTTCATAACCGCCTTATTTTACTGACTGACAGACGATGCGGCAGGCGCGCAATGAGCAGTCTCTGTTATTGTTGCTAACCCACCCTCAGACTAACCATCAAGGCACGCAGCAACACCTCAACACGACTTCAATGCGTACCACTGTCGCCTTACATTTTACAATTTGGCGATGCTTTGGCTAGTTGTCATCCCACCAACCCTTATGGCGTGTAATGCATGCTACCCGATGACTTGTGAACGGACTGTAGTCAACTCGAATTCGCCTTTTTATTTCAGGCCGGTGTGTACTTCTTCCAAATTTTTGATTGGTACGGCACCCCAATCAGCATCTCCATCATCGCCACGCTCGAGGTTATCGCTTTGTCTTATTTCTACGGTAGGTGTGTGCTCGCTTTCGCCAAGGCGGACATTTACGCATCTCAATGCTGCTAGCAAATATGAAATCAACGGGACTGACACATTAGTCGCAGGTGGTTTTTCAACAAAACTAGCGTTTGCGTTAGCTTTGGAAGTTAACAAGGGTGACAAATGCATTGGCTCAATGCAGACACCCTGACCAATGCGTAATTTGCATATTTGGATGCAGGCAAGAATGCAATTTACACGGATGCGTTGGTGGCAGCAAATGCGCCAATGCTGGTGGAGGAAGCACAGCACTTTGTTGTTGACATGCCATGTTCACTTGTCACCTTCCTTGCATTTGTCCTCAATCAGGTGGGAGGAGGCTGTTCACAAATGCCGAGACAATGCTGGGGCCTCGTGCCAAGCTGACACGCATCGTTTGGGTGAGCATATGGTACATTGTGACACCCTGCTTCACCTTCTTCATCTTCGTCACAATAATCCTCGACTACACACCACCCAAATTCAATAATGGGCAGCCGTTTCCACAATGGGCCACCATTGCGGGTTGGTGTCTCGCCTCGATTTCGCTCATTCCAATACCTCTTCTGGCCCTCATGGAGACGTACCGAAACCGACACAATTTGCACAATGTGAGTTGTACGATTAAAGGAAGGGGGTGGGCACAACGCATTCGCCTTCAGGTGCCTCCGTAAGAGGATTGCGAGTGCAAGCGTAGGTTGAAGGTCATCACGCAAGCAGTGGCGATGGTGGTGGAAAGGAGTTGTGAGTGTTGTCACTGCGAATAATGGGGGTGTTGCATGCACGTAGGCTGGCAATTATGAGTGGTGTTTGGAAGGTCTGCGCTGGTGAAGTGGCCGAATGCCTGTGCATATGAAGTTGAGGATGGGGAAGGGAGGAGAGAGTGAGCAGGCAAGGCACGAGCATAGAAATCTCTTTTCTTGTGTTCAGCTGTTTAGACCGACACGAGAGTGGGAGAAGGCGTGTGAATGGCGCTGTGTGAATGAGGGGAGGAGGCGAGGCGAGCACAATGAGGAAGTGGAACTTGAAGACGGTGGAGGAGAAGTGGCACTGGTGGAGACTGGGAGAGGGAAGGGAAGGTGGATATTTCACCAATGATTGCTGCTTATGCAAATGTGTGCTTTTGATCGTGCTCACTTTGTACACCCCTTTCCCTCCTGCCCCACCCTCTTTGTTTTCTCAATGTTAGATGGCTGTTGTATGACAGACGTGTTACCTCCTCCGTCTCGAATGGGTGCAGGTAGTGTCTGTTTGAAGTGAGATGATGGTGGTGCTTTCCAAGCTAAGTTGGTGGTGCTGTACTCGCCATGGAATGAATGGACGGGTTTGGGACGAAAAGGGCGACAAGTCATTGCGACGAAATCTGATTGCTTCTTTCGCATGGAACGATGCATCACATCACCTACTTAGCTAAGGTGTATTGTGGTGGGTGGACGCGCAAGGCGGGGAAGAACGCACACTCTTCCACACAACCGCCCTCCTTCCTCCTTCACCTCCAAACTGCCAAGTTGGCGTCAGGCTAGTTAGAGGCGTCAAGGTGGTCTCCACACGCTTCACACCACCGTGTTAGATTTGGCTGGCTGTTCTCCTGTGGAGTAGTGGAGCTGTAGAGGCGGTACGGCGTTTCCCATTTGTTTGTAAGCCTCACTACATTCCAGAGTTTGTCAAGAGTCATGACATGGGAAGGTGTTAAGTCACTTGTTAAAAGACACTGACTGCGTTAAATAGGCGAAATGGCTAAGTTGGAATCGTTGTAGTGGAGATGTCTGCTTCCCGACTCCACGCGGAGCCAACAGTCATGGACCTCCAACCTTGCACACTGTGCGGCGTCAAGTGGTCAGCGGTGCAGATGGACGCACCGTGCGTGTGCTGTAGGCATTGCTTTGCCTTGAGCGAGTTGCCTTGTGCCTAGCAAAGCATTGTGTCCTCAAAGCAGCATTGCCTTGAGATTCACAATTCGGCCACAACTCACACTTTCCTCATGGTCACTCGGTCCTCCTTCAATGCAGTGAGTGAGTGAGTGAGTGAGTGAGTAGGCAAGAAGGCAGAAATTAATGAGTTGGTTTGCGAAGGCGATACTCCTCAAATCAACGCCTACAGCTGTAGAGATGCTTAGATTTATGCGAAGAAGTCTTGCCAACGGTTGTGATGCTGGCTGTGGTGGACTAAGACCCCCAAGCATCGCGCCAGTTAGGATGGTCGAGCCGTCAATTGTGAAATGAAGGACGCCAGCATCTTCCCTCACGCTTTAAATTATCGATTGACTGATTACGCGACCGACCTTGAAGGAGGCACTGACTTACTGCGCACCCCTCAAGTATGCCTCGTCAATTGCCCTTTAGACGCGCTTACACCCACAACTGTGTTCAGTGGTTTCGTCCTGTCAATAAACTCACCAACAAGCACATTTTGGAGGAAATTGTCAACGAAATAAACTTTGGCAATGGGGAGGAGGAGGCAAGGACTGCCTACCTCGCCGCAATGGATGTAGTCCGATCGTGCTGCGGTGTAAGACTGCTTGTCTTGCTGCAGAATGGAGGATTGGCTGCTCTGCACAATCTAATTAACGGTTGCCACCTTCGGAAACGAGGCCTCACATTACTTGGAATGGCACTTGACATTCTCGAGGGTCTCCTTTTGGTCAATGCTGATGTCAGGCTCTACCTCCTCCGTTATTGGCACATGTTACTGCGCCCTGTTAAAATGGCTTTTGCACATTTTCAACGCATCTACGGATTGACCGATTTGCGGGACGAGTTAAGGACAAGCGAGAGAAGGAGGCAGTGCACCACGGTGTCGCAGTCGTCTTGGCACCACTTTGGCTTGCAAGGGAGGAGGCACTCGCAACCACCACTTCCAGTCCACGATGTGGCCCTCTTCTCCGAGTACCTACGAAGGCTAGAACTCATAGTCCACACAGCTGTCGACTCGACTGCAGCCATCGTGCAGATGGTGGTTGTGGCAAATAAGCGTCTCGACCCGCTGCACAAAAGCATTGAAGAAGTGAACTTTGACGTGTCACCAAAGAAGGCTGAGTCGGTGTTCGGTCCACGAGTGCATTTCGTCCCTCACAAGCACCTCGCCACACCCTCGAGCATCGTGCCTCTCCTCAAAACCTACTTCCACATGGACGATGACAAGTCCATCCCAGTGGAGAGGCGCGAAGATGTGGGTAAGGAAGAAGAAGAAGAAGAAGAAGAA